AAAATAACCAAGATACAGAGAAAATGCAAAAATACAAAGGGGTGTTTATATTGCGTCCTACAAAAAACCACGCAACATAAGTATCCAATCACATTGATGAATATCTATCCCAAGTCAGAGGTCAAGGACAACAAAAAAAAGCGCAAAAAACCACTAAAGGAAAGAAAAAAAATTAATTTTAAAAGTCTACCGACCCTCACTTCAATAGGCGGTAGACTAGGTGAATTCAATGGCCAATAGAATCTGATGCGCTGAATGAAATCTTACCAAATTTGGCATCAGAGATGCTACGGGGTACAAGAGTGTATATTCGGAGTTTCATGCAGATCGGAGCTTAATTGGGACCAACGATCTCCGGGACCTATCTTTTGCATTAGCCTCGTATTCGTATTCAGATAATATGGTGATCCATCGTGCAATAATTCCGGATGGGTTGGATGTATTAAGTAATCCCTTTAAGGCTGAATGATCCGTTATGATTGTAAATTTCCTTCCCAAAAGGTATGGTCTGAACTGTTTCACTGCCCAAATCACTGCTAAACATTCTAATTTTGATACTCCATAATTGACTTCACTGGTTTTTAAGCTTCTACTTGCGTATATAATTGGATGCTCGTGACCATTGTCGTCCAATTGCGTCAGTATGCACCTGAGTCCACTTCTAGATGCATCAGTCACCAAAATAAAGCTTCGATTGAAATCAGGTCTTGACAAAACTGGCGCTTCTGTTAAAAGCTTTTTAAGAGTTTCAAACGATTCAGTGGTTTTCTCGGCCCATGGTATCTTTTTTGAGGTTTTTGTTTGATCGTGTAATGGACGTGCTATTGCAGCAAAGTTCTTGATAAATCGTCGATAATAAGATGCTAAACCAAGGAATCCTCTTAGTTGTGTGAGAATTTTAGGAATAGGATAATCCTGTATTTTTTTTATCTTGCTTGGGTCTGTCTGTATTCCTTCTTTTGTGACAATGTATCCAAGGAACTTCAGGTGATCTTTAAAGAAAAAGCTCTTTTCAGGGTTTAGCTTTAAATTTGCAATCTTGATACAGTTAAAGACTTGTTCCAGGTGGGTAAGATGTTCATGAGTATTAGTTGAGTACACATTCAAATCGTCAATGTAAGCAACTAAACATTTGTTTATCAATGGTCTGAAACAAAGGTCTATTAGCCGTTGAAAAGTTGCCGGTGAGTTGACCAACCCCATAGGTAAGGTATTGTAATGATATACGCCATATTTTGTTGTGAAAGCAGTGAGTTCTTTACTGTTTTCCTCTACTGGTACTTGATGGAATCCTGCTCTCATATCTAGAGCAGAGAATATTTTAGCCTTGCCCAAAGTGTCTAGTAAGTCGTCAATCCTTGGTAATGGATATGAATCTTTTTTAGTCACTGCGTTGAGCTTGCGATAATCGATAACCATCCGGTATTCACCGTTTTTCTTTTTTACCAAAATTACAGGAGCCGCCCAAGGACTATTCGAGGGTGCGATTACCCCTAATCTACAATATTTATCTAATTCTTTTAAAAGATAATCTGATTCAACAGGGCTGAGTCTATACGGTCTATGACTGATAGGTTGTGTATTTTCTTCGACAATTATTTTGTGCTGTATTAATTGTGTATATCCAATCGTGTCATTATTCCAATCAAATATATCTTTATATCGATGCATAAGCTTTTGCAACTTCTTTTCAACATCACTTTCAATACCTCCAACTTCCAATTTAGCATACATTTCTGGATTTATTGTTTCGTCGTCTGGTTCAGAATTCTCGGTTACCCCCTCTTCTAGAGCGAATAAGTCATAGTTTCTATTGAGCTGATAAGCTTGTACTATTTCTTCCTCTTCTAAGTTATATTCTTCTAGTTTTCCTATTTCTTCATATGGTTTCAATAGTATGTCATGTTCTGATCGATTATATATATGGATTTCTATATTTCTTCTGTTGATTATGATATTCGAATTTACATCAAAATAACACATGGCATCTAGGATATCCTGATTGGTGATATCAAACCCATAGATGAGCTTTCTGTATCCCTTAGAAGGTTTTTCCACTCTGAAATTACATGACGAGTGCGCCTTGATCGCCATTCCTTGTTCAGGTGCTCGGATAATCTTTCTTGCTTCTTCAGATAACAGCTCTATTTTTTGTTCCTTTTCTTCTTCCAGTACCAACCGTGATTCTCCTTTTTCTAGCTCGTCATCAGATACTTCATCTTCTGCGGAATAATCTTCCTCACTGATTTCTTCTGAATTAGATAATTCTTCTGAGTATGTTTCTTCGGTATCTTCTGTCGCCTCGTCTTCAAAGTGTACACGTTTGGGTGATGAGTTTGTCAAACTGATAGGATTTTGATAGCTTTGGGTGTAGGTGACCATCTTTGGTACTCGTTCTTTCTTACGTACGAAGGATATTGGTAACTCGGCTTTTTGATTTTTGTATGCTACTTTCAATGTGCAGCTATTAAAATTTATTTTCGCTTTGGCTCGATTCAACCAATTGTTTCCTATAATAAGGTGAGAGGGACATGAGGTAGTACTTCTATGTTACAAAGTATAACCATATTTTCTTTGACTTCTATTGGAACATCGTATATAATTCCTAGAACAGATTGTTTGGTTCCATTGCCCAAAGTAAAAATACTTTCTGATGGTGCATCGATCTTTAGTTTCAAGGTGTCAGCTAGGGTTTTTGATATACAGTAGCTTACAAAATTGTACAAGTGTTTTGCATTTTTTGCTTCCGTAGGATTTATCGATACCAAAACGATAAATAAACAGCAGCATGTTGTACATCATTCGAAAGTATAGCTTCTTGTCTTTCTTTGAGTACTATTCAGTCGGCGATAAAGTCATTGTGGATGGAGGTATGACCGCTTACAAATGCCGACTGCACTTGTACAATTTTGGAACCGCTTCAAATATTTCAATATCAGTTCATAATCTTGCTCGCCACAGCGCGTAAGCCACCAAAAAAGATTTTTTTTATTTTTCAATGCTCAAAGTATCTTTTTCTTTCTTTTTCTGCCATTTTTCTTACATCTACAGGAACTAACTGCTATATAAAAGCGTACCAACGTCCAATATGCAACCTATCAGTGAAAATCTCCGTAATCGTATCATCAGCTGCTTAAAAAATGGATACTCTATATCAAAAACAGCAAACATAGCTGGAGCAAGCCGTGGAGCCGCTCAGAACGTTCGAAAAACAATAAAAAACGAAGTAAACAGCATTAAAACAGGTCGCCCCAAGTTACTCAGCAACAGGGATGATCAGTATTTAGTCCGATTAGTAACAGTTAAAGGTCAAGAGAATGCAGTAGAAGCCAGGAACATGCTCGAAAATGACTTGCAAAAGGTTGTATCAGCCCAAACAGTGCGAAGATCGTTGCGTAGGTCTGGTTTAACCTCTTTTGTTAAGCCTCAAAAACCATTGCTCAGTGAAGTAAACAGACGAAAGCGATTGGACTGGGCTCTTAATCACGTTGACTGGACCATAGAACACTGGAAACGCGTGATTTGGTCTGATGAGACTAAAGTAAATCGTTTTGGATCGGATGGTAAGGTTTATTCATGGAAGCAACCAAATGAGAAGCTTAAAAGAAGGCATGTAACGCAAACCGTAAAACATGGTGGAGGCTCACTTATGGTTTGGAGCTGTATTAGCTGGTACGGGGTTGGGTATATTGTCGACGTAGGCAAGAATATGGACAAGAGCGTCTATTTATCTGTATTGCAAGATGATTTGGTGAAGTCTATGGCCGACTATTGCGAAGAAAACGACCTGAGAATGGCTGATTTTGAATTTATGCAAGATAACGATCCCAAACATAAGTCCAAAATCGTATCTGAAAGGTTGTCTAAACAGGATTTTACAACAATGGAGTGTCCACCACAGTTTCCAGACTTAAATCCAATTGAAAATATGTGGAATATCTTGAAAAAACGCTTGTTTAAACAGTATGATTGTCCTCCTGCCTCTATGGATGAACTATGGACTCGTACGTTCGAGACTTGGCATGAAATTACCGAAAAAGAATGTCAAAATTATATTGAAACTATGCCTCAACGATGTATTGACATTATAGAGAATAAGGGTATTTGGATCAACTTCTAATGCACACTTTTAAATAAAAACTTTATTCTAAAACATCGGTTCCAAAATTGTACAAGTGCAGTCGGCATTTGTAAGCGGTCATACCTCCATCCACAATGACTTTATCGCCGACTGAATAGTACTCAAAGAAAGACAAGAAGCTATACTTTCGAATGATGTACAACATGCTGCTGTTTATTTATCGTTTTGGTATCGATAAATCCTACGGAAGCAAAAAATGCAAAACACTTGTACAATTTTGTAAGCTACTGTATATTTGTTGTTAGATTACTGTTTTCATTTGAACAATGAACGTTCTATTGCTATACTCTTTCTTTTTTTTTTTACTTAGTCTTTTTTTTTTAACTTAGTCTTTTTTTTTACCAGGCCATTTTTTTTTCCTAAACACGACTATTTTGTTACGTTCTGTAACACGTTTGTAATGATCTAAGCTAAAAATCACAAACCACCTTCCTAATATGTATTCTTCTGAACAAAATAATCGCAAAATGCTTTTGATTTCCGCATTTTGCCCTCAAAAATAAAAAAAAGAAGACATCGGTCTTTCAACAGTAGAGGGGAACAGGATTTCCAAAAAAAGACCATTTGAAAAAAAAAGACACTTTTTTAAAACATGAATAACTTTATAAATACTTACGCTACAAAAAAACAAAAGTATTGTTCAATTTCTTTATTTTTTTCGCACCTGAATCTTTTTTTAAAATTCGAAAATGACCAATACAGCGAGCGTTAACTTTTTTCATTTAATCAAAGACGTCAAAAGAGTTGATTTTTGGATGCAACAACTGACTGTAGATGTTGACAATCACCAATTATTTCCAGTGGCAATCACGTGATCAAGCGCAACACTAATTACTATAACGTTCATGAAATTAATAAAAGTGGGATGGCGGAGTGGTTAACGCGCCAGGTTTAGGTCCTGGTCTCTTCGGAGGCGCGAGTTCGAACCTCGCTTCCACTAACTTATTAATTTTGGTCGTATGTGTTGTAACAGTGGTCTCTTTTTGGACGAAGTACGAAACAACTCCGACATGGATTGTTAAAATAACTTAAGTTATTTTAACAACCATCGTCAAAGAAATAACAATAGCCGCAAAAATAAAAAAGGTCAAAAAAAAATAAGAAAAGCTAAAAAGAAGAAAAAAAAAATTCATATATATATATCCCATCTTTTGTGAAGAAGTGGTTAGTTAGTAAAAAATAAATCATATATTTCTACTCAATAATTAACAAACTTTAACAAGAAAGTCCCTGTTTACCTAAACTTTTTACTCTACTTTAACTTTTATCAAGAAACATCTTATTGATCTTACACATAAGATCTGGTGGTCACTACTTATCAAGCATCTGCTTAAATTCCATACAAAACAACAACTTACAAGGCAATCACAACCTTAAATCAAGCTCTACAAGCAAAATTTACCCAATTTAACTCACTTACTACAAGCCAACCTTTAAAATAACAGTGTTGTAGTGTCGTGTTTGATTACGAATAGTCTTTTTATAGTAATTAACAAAGGTACAGATAAATTATTTAGTTAAAGATTGTCTCTTTTATTTAATAAAGATAATGTATATTTATACTATTTTACATTTGCTGCGGAGGTGACGTTTGTTATGTATTGATATAATGTTGATATTGAAAGCACTGCGTCTATACTGCGTCTATACTGCGTCTATACTGCGGTTGACATTTACAAGTAGAAGTATTAAAAAGGAATCTTTGTAACATTGCAACACGCAAGAACAAAATGGCGGAATTTAAATCGTTGCAGTTTATAACGAACGCCTTACAGTTTGCAACAACCACCTTACACTATACAACAACCGCCTCTTATGTTATAACAACCACCCAAAATACCAAAAACAGAACAAAAGCATAAAATCCAAAAACATATAAATAACTCCAAATAATAATCACAAAAATACTTCACTTCTTATTTTACTTTTTCTTTTTATCAAATAAATATTCTTTTAAAGAGGCAAATTATCTCTTATTTTATTTAACATCAAGAACAAGAAGCCCCTTGAAGCTATCATACTTCATTGTAAAACCCCCTTTTATTTATCTTTTTATCTTTTTTTTTATTTTACCTTTATCAAAACAGTCTGATCTACTTTATAAGATCTGGTGGTCACTATAACAAGCGAATCAAGCCAAGTCTGACTCATATAAAAGCAACTCTTATATCAATTACACTCAAATCTGTTTATTTAAACCTTAACTCAACACTCCCAAACAGAGAAACTACTATAAACCAAACCATTACAACATAACCCAAAAGGAGAATAAAACATATTGTTATTTTAAAGGTTGGCTTGTAGTAAGTGAGTTAAATTGGGTAAATTTTGCTTGTAGAGCTTGATTTAAGGTTGTGATTGCCTTGTAAGTTGTTGTTTTGTATGGAATTTAAGCAGATGCTTGATAAGTAGTGACCACCAGATCTTATGTGTAAGATCAATAAGATGTTTCTTGATAAAAGTTAAAGTAGAGTAAAAAGTTTAGGTAAACAGGGACTTTCTTGTTAAAGTTTGTTAATTATTGAGTAGAAATATATGATTTATTTTTTACTAACTAACCACTTCTTCACAAAAGATGGGATATATATATATGAATTTTTTTTTTCTTCTTTTTAGCTTTTCTTATTTTTTTTTGACCTTTTTTATTTTTGCGGCTATTGTTATTTCTTTGACGATGATTGTTAAAATAACTTAAGTTATTGTAGCACAAATGATGAAATTTTAGATCAAGAGAACAATGCTGATCACAAGAATAATTTTGATGTCCAGCGACATTGATGTCGTTCGACATAGATGTCAAACAACACAAACAATAAGCCACGCCAATTTTTATATAAATAAGATGAATATTTTTAAACAAAATAACATTATCCAATCCAATTCAATAAATCAAATCTTCTTACGCTTAAAAAGCAATCTTTTCTTATTGGATCACAATAACCTTTTCTTTTCTTTTTATTTTTACTTATTCTTTCTGATCTGATACCCGAGTTATCACAAATCAAGAAAGATCCCTTTTATTTTTATCTTTTATTAAGCAACCTTACTCTTAATCTTACTGATCTAAAAAGATCTGGTGGTCACTACTCAAAGACAATTTACTCTAAAGAACTGTTAAACGTTCAATCAAGTTACCTAAACTCAAGTCATTCAAGACTTCAAACCTCAATTTAAACAAATCTACATCACTTTAACACAAGCCAAGTCCCAAGTACTAATGTTATTTTGTAGTATGGTTGGTTTAGTTTGAGTGTTTTAGAGAAGTTTTTCTTGAAATTTTTAAAGTAAGGTACTGTAGTGACCACCAGATCTTTTAATTAAGATCAAATAAAGGTAAAGGTAAAAAAAATAAAGGGATCAGGAACTTTTATGAGAAGGTTGCCTGTTTATTGAATAAAATATATAAAATAAAATGTGAGTAGAACTGTACTGTCCTTTTTCTTCATCTAAATAGTTGGGATATTTATATTGTTAAATTTTTTTTTTTTCTCTTTTTGACTTTTTTCATTTTTTTGACTTTTTTCATTTTTTGACTTTTTTCATTTTTTGACTTCTTTGTCACACTAACAAGTTACATTATTTTAACAATCCATGTCGGAGTTGTTTCGTACTTCGTCCAAAAAGAGACCACTGTTACAATATGACACAAACGGAATAAAAAGATATGACGTGACAGCAGCAAAAGATTCTGCTGAACATATATAAATGATCAAAACATTTGGAGAAAGCGAGGATTGAACTCGCGACCTATTCCATGCGAAGGAATTGTGATACCACTACACCATTTCCCCAAGGCTGGTAATTCTAGTAAACTTTGTATCTTATTAGACATACGTTTGAACTGTCCCACTGCAAATAATCGTTCCAATTGGATAAAGCATATCGTAAGATTGAACATTTTTTGGTTAACAGATATTTATGGGTTTTGGAGAAAAGATGTAACTTTCGTTGTATTGGTCATTTTTGAATTTTGAAAAAAGATTTAGGTGCGAAAAAAATAAAGAAATTTAACGATATTTCTGTTTTTTTTGTAGGGTAAGTATTCATAGAGTTATTCATGTTTTAAAAAAGTGTCTGTTTTTTTTACAGATGATATTTTTTTGGAAAGCCTGTTCCCCTCTATCGTTGAAAGACCGATATCTTCTTTTTTTTATTTTTGAGGGCAAAATGCGGAAATCAAAAGCATTTTGCGATTATTTTGTTCAGAAGAATACATATTAGGAAGGTGGTTTGTGATTTTTAGCTTAGATCATTACAAACGTGTTACAAAACGTAATAAAATAGTCGTGTTTGGGAAAAAAATGACCTGGTAAAAAAAGACTTGGTAAAAAAAAAAGACTAAGTTAAAAAAAAAGACGAAGTTAAAAAAAAAGAAAAGAAAAGAGTATAGCTATAAAAAGTTCATTGTTCAAATGAAAACAATCATCTAACAACAAGTACACTTCATAGAAATGCAAACTACTTTTACATTATAAAAAAAGAATACGTGTATATTCTAAAAGAATAAAAAATAAAGAAGCTCTGCTAACATTTTGCTACAAGGCAGTTATAATTAACAAATACATGCAAAACACTTTTGTTTATCAAGTAAATAGATTGCTTTATTATTTTTTATGACAAATACAGTGAGTTAAAAAACCGTTTCAGTGTTCTTCCTAAATATGGTTTTGCTACCACTACTACCGATATACTTAGTAAAATGCTATATTTTATACATCATATGGAAGCACTAGTCCTGGTGTATCATAAAATATAGAGATAGTATTACTTTTTCAATATTTGCTCACTAAACCTTATAAAATTACTACAGTCGGTGCACTGAAACGGTTTTTTAACTCCATTCAAAAAAACATAAATACCAATAACAATTACGCAAACTTCATTTTTCATTTATGCAATGTACATGAAGCCAGGAGATAAGTATTCTGCTTTGCATTTATTAAAAAAACAAGTATATAAACACGTTATTTTATTAATAAACGCGTAACAAATTTTGTCCTTTTTCATTTAACATTTTCAACCCAATCTTTATTAAAAATGACTCGCTCTATTTCCCAAGACACTCAAAATGATTTGAGAGTGCTGCTAGATACCGATTTGTCTTATGAAGAAATTGCTGATCGCTTGACTCTCTCTAAAGCCACTGTTCATCGATATTGCAAAAAATGGAATATCCAAAGACCCGATAATACTGGCGGACGACCTCCGATCTTAACTGAAGCAAGCAAGTCTCTCATGAAGAGAATGGTAATCTTAGGACGACTGAAGTCTGGTGTTGAGGTTTTCGATTATTTCAAGGCCATTTATCCAAGGTTGACTTATAACACCACCCTAAACGCCTTAAAAAGCCTAGGATTCAAAGCCCGACCCAAAAGAAAGGTACCTCTTTTGTCAGCAAAACACAGGAAAGCACGTTTGGATTGGGCACTTGCTCATAGATACTGGACCACTGACGACTGGAGAAAGGTTATCTTCTCTGACGAATCGAAAATCAACGTTTGGGGTTCTGATGGAGTTGAATTCTACTGGAGTCTGCCTGGAAGCCCATTACAGCCTCATCATGTAATTCCAACCGTAAAACATGGAGGAGGAAGCGTTATGGTGTGGGCTTGTATGACTTCCCATGGAGTTGGGTATATCTGCGAGATATACGACGGCAGAATGACTGCACCGGATTATATCCATATCCTAAAAACTGAACTGGCAGACACCCTTGCTTACTACCGATTGGGAGATGGTGATTTCATTTTTCAGCACGATAATGATCCAAAACACACTGCCAAGATAACAACAACTTATCTTAAAGAAGAAGCAAGATACCCAGTGTTGCCTTGGCCCTCTCAATCGCCTGACCTGAACCCAATTGAGCACATGTGGAGACATTTAAAGTTGAAATTAGCTCTATATGAGCAAAGAGCAAGAGGTGTCCATGAACTATGG